GTTACAGTTCTGCGAGGAAGTTGCAAATCGGTAATTGCGTTGAGAATTTCACTTTTATTTTTAAAGTTGGAAATAGGTTCTTTATGTTTCGCCAAAACGTATGTGTTTACATAAGATGCTTCAGTTGCCATTTGGATTGATGCGTAGACTTTTGCAACAAAAGTTGCTGTGCCGTTAAGTAATTTTTTAATTATCGATCATATTCATAATTTTTTGCAAAACTTTTAGTACACATTATAAATTAAAAGATTTAAAATTAACTTAGTAAATTATTTAAAATATCTGCGATCGACTGTCGAACTGTTCGCGATCGACCGTTTACCTACCCCTGGCTTAGGACGAGACGGACGTTGAGTGTATGACAAGGAAATTAATAAATGCATACCACTGGTGGGGACGAACAGAGCTAAAACACAGTATATTTGTCTAGGCAGAGAAAAAATGATGTGGTTCTCAACGATCATACTATAATGAAAGCATGCGAAGAATTGGTACCACGAAATAAAAATGGATCAGTGGGAGATGCGAGGCTTAAATACGAAGTCAATTACAAAAGGCAATAAACTCCCTTTTTTGTAGAAAAATAAATGACCAAACAATTAGAGTACTAGTTACAGGAAGTGGAAGTCTTTTGGGGAAAAGCAGCAAGCAAGATTAAAATAGACAGAGTGCAGAGAAGACAATTGCAATGGTAGGCCACGTTTAACAAATGGGAAATGTAAGAATTGGAGTCCAACCAAAACAATATCCAGAGGACATTCAAAAACTACGAAATTCACACTACGAGATTCGAAATGTAATGTCCGAAAAGACCGAAATGGTCATATATTAGAATATCTGACAAGAAGAAATTAAATCCTTCAAGCGATTTTCATCAAACATCATGTATCCTGTTTTGTACAGGTGGGCATCTAAAGTTTGGAATTTGAATTTCGGTTATTTTGGTTTTGAATGATAGAATGACATTCACGAATTACACAAAATTAGTTTTATAAAAATGGGAAATATTGAAAACTTACTTCCAAAGTGATGTCTTCAACCCAAACTGTAAGAAATTTACGTGCAGGAAAATTCCGGTGCGCTCACCTGAAAACATTATTGCGGTTGCCTAGAATCATTCTTGGGAACTGAACATTTCTCGCACTTCTTACAAAGTTCAATTAGTTCAAGAACTGAAGCCTTATAACCATCCGATGCGTTCTCGGTTCGCCCAATGGGCTGGAGTCGCTTGGCCGAAGATGAGCATTTTTATCGAAAAATCACCTTTTCAGATTATGCCCATTTCCGCATCGAAGGCCATGTCAATAAGCAAAATTGTCGCATGTGGAGCTCACGCTAAGTATCCAAAGACGATTAAAGCCTTGAAACACGAAATCGAAGTTGCCATTCTTGAAAATCAAGCCCAAACATTCAAAAAAGTATTTTGAAAAATTATTCATTACTTTTATTTTTATACCTGATTCAATATTCAAACGTTAAATGGCCCACCTTATTGTTTATTGTTGAATCCTTTGAGGCCGAATATAATGAGATAGAAGAATTGGTGAATGAGAGATGTGCAGGTGAAAATAGGTTTAAAAATGTTTAAGAAACAATGTTTTTCGATTTTTGAAGTTTTTTTGTTCAATTATCGGAATTGTATAAAGATAGAAATAATTTTTACTTTATCTTTGGATAATAGTTATTTATGTAGCAAGTTGGCAAAGTGATGCTTTATCGAACGGGTCTGAGTTTGCGAGTCGAGCAAGCGAGGCGAGTAACAGGCGAGTTCGATAAAGACACTTTGCTGACGTGTTGCATACAACATTTTATCGCCAACCGCAAAATTTAACGATATGAAGATTTTAGCAGTTTTCGAAAAGTGATTTTACGGTACATAAGGACATTTTTCTTACCTAAGATATGCAACCATTCCTAGGTTATATTAATATGACATGTTAATTTGACAGAAACAGACCGAAAAACTCCAGCTTCACTTCAGATTCTTCTTTTTTCGATTTTTATACCATTTTTAATACTAATTTTAGAGTTTTTGTTGATTTGGTCATTGCAATACAAAAAGAAACGTTTATTTCATTTTCTTATTGTTAAAGTCTCCTTGCAGTGCTCTCAACTCTGTTTACTCTTTTATTGCAATTTCAGCCTCTGCTTAGTTTCTTTCTTCTATTCCTAATTTATTTCGAGTCTTTTGACTCTTTATACTGTCGCTTTTTTCTCTTTCAACTATTCTCCCATTCTCTTTTCTGTCAACCCAGTCTCTTTTTTTCCAAGCCTTGTTCAGTTTCATTTGTCTGAATAAGCTTTTTTTTTGACTTCCAATCTCTGTCAGTCTTTTTCTTTTATTACGATTTACGTGTCAAGTCTTTTTCTTCCCTGTTTACTCTCAATCATGTCTGTATTGACTTGTTCGGCATATTTCTTCTATTAAGAGTTTTTTCTAGTTTTCCTCCTTTCTGCTCAGTCTTTTTTACGACCGTACAGTTTTTGTTCAATATTCTTTATCTCTAGGTAGTTCTTTTCTAGCCTTTACATCCTTATTTCTGTTCTACTCCATTCTGTCCATTCTGTCCAATCTTCTTTCTGCTTTTCCAGTTTTGTTTAGCTGTTTTATTGTCATTTCTGCCTCTGCTTAGTTTCTTTTTTCTATTTCTAATGTATTTCTTGTCTTTCCAGTTCCTATACAGTCGCTTTTTCTCTTTCAAGCCCCCTTCCATTCTCGTTTCTGTTAACCCAGTCTTTTTTTCAGTCTTTGTGCAGTTTCAATTGTCTGAATAAGCTTTTTTCTTGACTTTTCTCTGCCAGTCTTTTTCCTTTATTATCATTTATGTGTCAAATCTTTCTCTTCCCTGTCTAGTTCTTCCTGATCTTACAGTTTCTTTTCAATGTTCTTCTTCTGTGACTAGTCCATTTCTTGTCTTTGCAGTTTTTCTTCAGTCTTTTTCTACTCTGCTCAATATTTTTTCTGTATTTCCAGTCTTTGTTCAGTTTCTTTCCAGTTCTTCTCTTTCTATCTAATCATTTCTTACCTTTACAGGCTCTTTATAATCTTCGTCCTTTCTACTGAATCTAACCATCCTCCTTTATAGCCAGTCCTTTTCTTCTCTTTCCAGTTACTATTTAGTGTCTTTCTTTTATTGCCACTGTTATTCTCATCTTTACTCTTTTGAGTCTAGTCCCTTTCTTGTCTTTACAATCTTTATAGTTCCTTCTTTTCTCTCCAATCCCATTTCCTTTCGTTCCAGTCTATCTACAGTTTCTTTCTTCTATTAAGAATTTTTTTCTGTTTTCCTCTTCGCAATCTAGTTCCAATCTTACTTGTACTATCTATTTCTACTCTTCCTCCTCTCTGCCCAGTCTTTTTCCCGACCGTACAGTTTCTGTTCAATATTAATTTTTTTCTGGCTAGTCATTTTCTAACCTTTACAGCCTTATTTTAGTGTTTCTAAATTCTGCTCAATGCTCATTCTTTCTGCTTTAAAAGTTTTGGTTAGCTCTTTTATTGCTACTCCTGCGTCTGCTTAGTTTCTTTCTTCTATTACTAATCTATTTCTTGTCTTTCCAGTCTTTATAGTCTTATATTTATATTTCCAGTACCCTCTGTTCAGGCTTTTTTTCTTTTTCCAGTCTCTTCCCAACCTTTTCCTCTCCGACAACTTCTTTTGTCTTTCCATATTTTGTTTACTCTTTTCCTTTTATTATCAGTGGCATTTGTGCTTCTCCTCTTTTCTGTCCAGTTCTATTCTTGCCTTCTTCCTTTTGTCTATGTATAATCTTTGTTCTTTCTTCTGCGTCCTATCTCCTTCCTATCATTATAGGCCATATCCAATCTCTATCTTCTATTACCAGTTTCGTTTTCTCTTCTTTATCTAGTTCCTTTCTTGTATCTGCAGTCTCTCTTCAGTACGCTCTTCTCTGTTCGGTTTACTTCCTATCTTGATTCCTATGAGTTGGTAGCTTGAAAAGATCTTTGAGTGCAGTGTTGTAACTAGAACCAACTATAGGTTCTAAAGTCATTCTTATAGTTATGAACATAGTTTAAGCACACCAAGGTATCAGTGGCAAATATAGTAAGTGTAAACTTTTTTTTTTAAACAAAAGATTTAATTTTGCGTTCCAACAAAGGCACCTGAATCACAAACTGCTATATTATGAGCCCAAAAAGAGTGATATACAAAAAATGAGCTGTCTTTGCGACCTCAAGACAGATAGTAGTAAATAGTAAATTCAAATAATTAAAAGACGTCGTTAGAATTGAATGCACAAGAATTCGTGGATTTATGAAAATGCTGATTGCAGCATTTCTTGTATTGAGTCTGATTGATCAAGAGATGATGCTAATTTGATAAAAGAATTTGACTCGTTTTTAAACTATTATGCAAAATATTTGAATCTTATAATTCATATAAAACTTGTTCGCCATCTTCAAGTACGTATTTCTTTTATTCATATGGAATTTATCTTTTTATAATTTTCTCATCCGTGTATTTTTAATTTAAAAGCAATGTTTCTACACTTTTTACCGATCATATCAACTTCTACATTTAATTTATTCCCGTCTATATCTAGAATAATCTTTTTACAAGTAACACAGTTACGACACCTTTTTTCCTTATTCTTTGCTTGCTCACGTTACAATTTCCACAAGCGCGCTCGGCCCAATTACGTATTGTTCTATGCCCACAAGAAAAAGAAGATTCTCAAGTCAACATATATTTTTTTCGCAAGCGATTATACAAGTTTGTCACGACAATTTTAAACACCCAAAAATGAAATAAAGGAACATCCCCGCCATATGGACTTCCTTTCCCAATTTGATGGTCTATATTTAGCTTTTTTAACCGGAAATATCAACATCGGCGGGCTGAGGAAAACGTGAGGAGACGTCCGAAATGTTGTTGTATGCGCCGCAGGTGCGATTACATTTACCGTCTTCGTCCTCGTGCGTGTTGCTGCTGCGGTGGTTCCCTTCCACAATAAACTCCAAACGGTGCGTTACGACACCTCAGAACTCTGTTGACTTGTTGCGAGACTCGCCTCGTCAGTGCAACGCGGATTTAGAAAGTGTATGGTACGTCCAAACTGCTCAACGTTGTACGTAAGAAAGTGCTTCTTCGTGTTTTGTGCACAGGATATAACTTTTTTTGAGTCAATCATAACTTTTGCCTTAAAATTAAAAATATTGCGGTAAGTTACATTATTTTTTGTTAGGTTTGATTAGAATAAATTAGATTTTGACTTAAGTTGTTTTGAAACATATGGAGATGTAAATTCTAGGTTAGAGTCTAAAGCTATCTATTAATTTGGTCCGGCTTCATGTTGATTGGATTGTTACAGAGTTAATCTGGGAAAAAGTTCTAATGATTAATAAACGTGTTAAGTTATTAATAGTTAATGAGTCTCTTTACGCGAGGTGCATAATAATCGTGATGTAATGTTTGTCCTTCGTCAAAGGATAAGGATGTAAACAATGTTATTTTTGCAAAAAGAAAACAAATCAATTTTATGTCTATGTAATTGGATTTGTTCTAAATTCCAACTCTAAACCAAACTCTTTATATTTCGGTCTATCTTTCCAAGTATTGGCGATGATATGATTCAACACTTTCTAGATTCTTCATGCAAAAAGATGATGAATAAAAAAAATCGCTATGTCGGAATAAGATATTGAGGATATAGCTAACATACAAAGTCGCGGTTGATTACCACGAGAAAAAGCGTTGATAATTTATAAAATAATTCTAGAATCGGGAACGAAGAACTCGACGGCGCTGTGAAAATTAATCGATTACGCGAGGCAGATGTGATCTGGTTCGGTTATTTAGATTAATGGAATAAGGTCGCAATTAGTCGACGTCCTCATCATCTTTCGAAGTGGGTTTATGGATACACGGTGAGTTCGGATTAACAATGATGTTACCGGAGATTGGAACAAACTAGAAATTATTCAACCTTGCATACAGCAGCCTTTCGATAACGTTGTGTTGTTAACTAACTGGTTTCATGTAAAAAAGTGCATGTGTGGTTACTTGAGTGAAACTTAAGAACGTTCTACTTCGAACTTGTTATTAACAATATTAAAGTTTTTCGATTTTTCAACGTTATCTCAATATTTATGCGCATCATAAAACATTTCATGATTTCGCCTAATTTATAAACAGTTGGAGTTGTGTATTTTTCTTATCATCGTGTGAATTAAATAAATTAAAAACTGCACTTAAACGATGATACTTATTGTAAATAGCTGAATTTTCTACCGGTTTCGACTGTACAACAGTCATCCTCAGGAAAACGACGTCAACGAACGTAAACTAAAATAGGAACTCATCGGATTAAGATATAAAGGTTCCCTCACAAGAAACTATTACAATAACTTATTTTAGAAATGACTATTCTGAACTATTCTATTATTCTAAATGACTATTCTATTATATAGTCATTTCTAAAATAAGTTATTGTAATAGTTTCTTGTGAGGGAACCTTTGTATCTTAATCCGATGAGCTCCTGTTTTAGTTTATGTTCGTTGACGTCCGTTTCCTGAGGATGACTGTTGTACAGTCGAAACCGGTAGAAAACTAAGCTATTTACAATAAATATCATCGTGACCTAGACCTTGACCTGCTTCCCTTGTTTATCTCGGTATTTTTTCACCACATCTCGAATGTAGGCCTTTGTCAATGGGAATCCCCAATTTGCAACAACAGTCAAAGTTTCAGAAATCAACAGCTCCTCAGACTTGCTTAAACAGTCGGTATTAAAAACCGGTATTGATGGCAAAATACCGGTATTTCGGTATTATTTTTATTTAGTGCCCTCGAAGGCCGGGGGCGGCCGATGTCTTCGAAAACCGCCGTGCTAGTTTGATGTTCTAAGATCTATGATCTATTTTCTGTCCGTTCTAAGTTTACATTTTCAAGTGACACTTTTTGACGTTTCATTAAAAAAATGCTAGCCGGAAGCGACCGATTGAAAACGGCCGTGTTTGTTTAAAGCTGTGCTGGAAAATGATGTTGACCAAACAGAAATTTGTTATCTATCTTATGTCCGTACTAACCTCATTTTTTCAAGTGACATTTTTTGATCAGTGTGAATACCATCTACAAGAAATATCTTTTTACACTCTGACAGAATGTTGAAGATAACTAAGACTCAACCTTTGATGACGACAACTTAATGTTCGTGTTCAATAAAGTTGTCATACCTAGCCAACAATAAAATACTCTCTGCATACAACTATTTTTGGAGTTTTTACTCCATAATGGTGTTTCAGGTCAGTTTGATTCGTGTAATGTCCCACCAAGTATAACAGTAGTATGATAAGTCTGACAATCTACCAAGAGCCATTATGTTAAAGTTTCTTTCTTGAATCTGCACCTTTCCAGAAAATTCCAAAGCAGGAATTGGTAAGAATGCCACAGAGCTTCAAATGATGAAGTGTAATTTCATTTTTTGACGCGGCATTGAAGTTGAACCTTTGGACCAAGTGAAAAACAACAAAACAATAATGGTATTCAGACCTTTAAGTTTATTGGTACTTTGTAGAGATTCCTAATATCTTTCCATTTTTTGATTATCTTCTCAGATTTTGTATCTTATGCTTTGTTGCCAATCTAAAAATATAGTAGGAATTAACCTGTTGTTAGTAGAGGTGACGCCGCAGAGGGGAAAAATTCTTACAAATAGATATATTTAGTGATTGTAATTTAGTAAGTAAACTTTTTTATAGCAATACCGGTATTAATACCGGTTTTAAAAATTTTGAATACCGAATACCGGTATTGAAATTTTGGTCCGGTATTGCAAGACCTAGTACTAATGTTGTCCGAGGCACTTTGAACGTTTCTGCGGCCTTTTTCCTTGACATTCCCTTTCGAACTGCATCCATAACCTTTTCCACTTTGTAATTAATGTAAGGTTTTAACCCTGGAGTTTTTTGATACGTGCGCACCATTTTTAATCAGTGACTTCCTTTGATAACAAGAAAAAAAACACCAGAAACAAAAACATAACCTAACCTCGCTTTCGTGATACAGGACTGAACACGTATGCGTTGTGTTCATGTAGCCCCGGGGTGGTCAAGTAGCCCCATCTTACGGTACCTTTGGCAGAACAATTTTCATACCTTCCTCTTGCTTTTCCAAAAGCAATCTGGTGTGAAGCACGGTTCCCAAGTCTTACAGGCTGGTGAACTTGCGCTACGACATTTTCGTGGACGCAGTAAATTTGTATATTTAGTTATCAGACCTGTAACTACAGAACGACGAAAATCTAATAGCGTCATCCTATCCTCTTCACATTCAGAATATATGATAAAAGAATTGCCGAAGCATATATCTGTAAAACCAAAGAAAAACCTGTGCCACCACTTCTTGGAACGGCGGTCGATTGCATACACTTGCCAAAGTTGATCGCCATGATCTACCGAACCCATGTTTTTATAGTAATCATCAACGACTAAAAGACAGCGCACATCAATTTTCGTTCCATTCTTTTGCTTCCTTTTTACGGTGGTCTCTTTTGTCTCTTTTCATTCGTTTATCATCTACAACATTTTTTGGTGCACCTTTTTTGTGAGACCTTATTGTTCCACAAGCTAAGGTTTTCTCAATTTTCAGTTTTTCCAAAAGACGTATACTTATAAAAAAGTTACCTATCGAAATAAATCATTCTATTTTTATTCCACTTCCACTCATCTTCAGTAAGTTGAAGGACAATCCTTTTACTTAATCCATAATCTGGACACTTTTCTTCAGTTTCAGGACATTTTGCCTAATACACATCAAATTTCTTTATTCTTATCTGCTAAGCACCAAAGCTTATAACCCCTTTTTATGGGCTTCGTGGGATTGAATTGTTTCATACAGCCAACTGCTCAGTGCCATGATAATTAGATGATGAATTAAATGAAACATAGATATCCCTTTTCCAAAGAAATTGTCTGGAAGCAACATTATACTTCCACATTTTGTTGTGGGTGATGCTGCGTCTCCTCTAATGGAAAATATAATGAGACCATATCCCGGGCAGTACTTAGAGCTAGAAAAAAATATTTTCAATATCGTTTATCCAGAACAAGGAGGACCGTTGAAAATGCCTTTGGTATACTCTGCCAGCGGTGGCGAATTCTACGGAGGCCAATCATAGCTGGGGTAGACATAGTAGAAAATATTGTAAAAGCCACAGTAGTTTTACATAACTTCCTTCGTATTGAACGCGAAAGGTAGTGTCCTCCAGGATATGGTGATACTATTCAGTCAGAGTCAGGGAAAATTATAAATGGTTAGTGACGAGCTGAACCAAAGCCACTGCAAAATATAGGACGGGTTGGAAGCAACAATACGGCAAGAAGGTTCCAGAAGAACAGAGACTTGTTGTGTGAATATTTTAACGGTATTGGAAGTGTAACATGGCAATATAACCATGTATCGTGCGTTAGCCCTTAAATTTTTTATATTAATAAAATATTCATAAATAATGTATTTTGTGTTTAATTTCAAAACAAGAGATAAATAAAAATAAAATCACTTTATAGTAAGAAACATTAATATTTATTAGTAAACTACAAAAATATCACAACTATTACACCAATGATAAAACAAAATAAATAAAATAAAAGAATAATACCAGAGTTAAAAAACAAATTGATTATGACTCATGGTCATATAAAATAATAACAAATTGAACTGGATGAACAAGTAAAAAAAAAGCAAATGTTTACAAGAAGATAAAATTAATTTAAGTGCGTTGTACCAGCTGTAATATTTCGGCTTTCAATCGCTGCTGAATCTCTGGGGGTTTTTCATTCACAAGTAAATTAAAAAAATAAATTAAAATTAAAAAAAAGAAGCATTTGCGTCTTCTTCTTCACTAATACAATTTGTAATTTTCTGCATTGATATTTTGATGCATTCTGTCAGATTGTCTAAGGAATCTGCTTTTCTTTTTCTATTATTTATTATTGGGGTACACTGTTGTATAGTGTAGTTGAAGGTGGTGGTGGGAGTTCTTGACATATTGTTGTGTCTGTTGATGTGTCGACTGCTGTTTCTGTTAATGTTTCCATATATGTATAACCATCTGATACTGAAGGTCTGGGACAAGGTGATGGCGACAATTGTGAACTTAAAAACAAGAAATGTTTGAAAATTGTAATTGCAATACATAAACAATACACAAAGCTGCTTAC